TAGGTCATGTTTTCTAGAACAATTGTGAAGGAAGAGATGCAAAGGAAGCATGAAACAGCTATGAATCGGATGCCTTCAGAGCTGACAAAACCTCAAATTCTAACAGAACATTGTTGTCTTAAAAAGCCAGATTTATACAAGATCAGATCTTGGGTCCTGTTTCAACACTGCATGGAGAAAACCCTGGAGAAGAAGGTTCTTAGAGAGGGGCAGGCAGCCTTTCCTTTATAGTTGATAGGGCAAAAACTCCAAGGCAGAAGATAACAGTGCTGAGTCATGTGGAAGCCTTTCCTCCCATGCCCTGACTATCTTGCATCTGTTTTTGACTCCTTACTCTCAGTGACAGATTGCCCAGGTCTCTCACCTGAGAAAGCATACTCCCTTCATTGCTGAATTCCTCTCCCCTTCATCCCTGGTTCCTCTCAGCTGAGTTTCAGAAGATAATAGCCTTTCTTTGGTGTCCTCCCTTATCTTTCAATAAGTTGTCTTATCTGCCTTCTCCTAGCCTGGGTTTTTTTTTTTTTCTTTTTTTTTTTTTCAATTGCTAAATCTAGTGGATTTTTCCAGTTTCCTCCCTTTCCTTCTCCCCCCCTTTCTATTCAATGCCAGATTTTATTGTGTATGTCTATCTCTTTCATTAGACTGTTTATATCCCAGGAGGGCTAAGATAGTATTTAATTCAAAACTTTAAGATGACCACAGTGCCTGGCCTATGCAAGTTCTTAAGAGATGTTTGTTAAATAAATAGATTACTCCTCATTGGACCAATGACTTTCAGGAATGTGGGACTAACGGCATTTATATAGACTTGTATTGTTGTTTTATTTAAACGATCTGGCCTGTCTTTCCACATGGTTTGGCTTTAAGGGACTCATTTCCTGTTTCTTTTAAATGGTTTTTTTGCTCTGAAATCCTTTTGCTCTGAAGTCTGTCTCCCTTCCCCCCTCCCTGCAAGTTCAGTCCCTTTTGCAGGAGGTCTCAGCCTTCAGGGGGCCTCCCTGTCCAGGCTGGAGGTAATGCACTATATTCCATTGTTTGCTTAGCCGCCTGGGTGGTTCCCACTTTGCAAGCAGAGGAAGCAGCTAAAAGAAAACCCTAGGGAGCCCAAATGTGGCCTCTACATCCAGGCAGCTGGTGCTGGCTCAACTGCAGCAAGGACGGGGGGGCCTTCTTCAAGGGCAGCTGCTACACATCTTTCCCAGAAGGCATCTTGTTCAACTATGTGCTTTCTACTAACCCCCACCATGTTTTATACTAAGGGTGGAACCTAGCCCCCTCTCCCCCCACCAGGCAAGCATTCTCCCATCAAGCTGCATACCCATCCTGCTTTTAAATTCTGTGACAGTCTCACTAAGTCAGTCAGCTGACCTCGGACTCACTCTGTCTCACAGGAAGTTCTGAAACTTGTGATCCTCCTGTCTCAGCCTCCCAAGTTGCTGGAATTCTGGGTCTATACCACCACCAGATTTGGTTTTATTTATTTATTTTTATGGATGATTTAAATTAATAAAACCACATTCTAAGCATTTGAGGTTATGATGAGGGGGAAAAAATCTAACTTCATATAATCTCCATATCTTCAGACAGTCTCTCAGAGTTGATTTTTGTTTTTTAAATGTGATTCTGGTAGCTTCCGCTCTTTTCACTTACTAGGTCTCGAGTGCTTTGACACTGATACTTTCCACCAGGACACTTTGGGTTATACTTTCTTATTGGGGGAAATCTCAAGTTATGGTTATCCTTTTGAAAAATGTTCTTCAGGAATTTGGTTTACTGTTGCCCAGGAAGCCTGTGGCCCAGGGAGTTCTGGCAATACCAGATAATCAGGCTGTTTATGTGGAACAGCTGCTGCCTGTATTTGGTCTTCCCACAAACGAAGGTAAAAGCTACCACATGACTCAAAGCTGCTTTTCTGAGGCAAAATTTATGCACTGTTACTGAGTAATGGAAGCCTTGAGAGATAATTAGATATGCAGATGGAGATTTTATGCTCTGATATGGGTTTATGCTTTTAAAAATATGTACATTAGTAGCAATCACTAAAAGTCTAAAATACCCAAATGTCTTAGTCGGTTTTGAATTGTAACAAAATACCTGAGGCTGAGTACATGAGTAAAAAGAGGTATATGTGACTCCTGATCCTGATATGACCATCTTCTAAAAAAACATGGAGGGTCCACACAGAAGTTGTCAACCTCCGGTTCTGTCAGTCCCCGCTGCCCACACTCCCTGGCACTTGCATAGCAAAGCAGAGAAGGGGGAAGAGGAGTGCCCATATCCAAGGAAGATAAAGCACATGGATATTCAGCAGTTTCCTCCCCTGAGAAGCAATTCGAATCTGTGGGGCCCACCCACCCTAAGACCAGCATTAACCCTTCCATGAGGGCCACATCCTATTCTTCCCCACCAAGCCCTACCTCCCTCCTCAGCGTTGCCATCATTCCAAACCAGTTATCAGTGCATGGACCTCGGGAGGACAACATCCTAACCATTGCCCAAGACTCCAGGACTCACAAAAGCACAGGGTAGGATCATTTGAGAAGGAAGATAAGCCAAAGCTGAAAACGGGAGAAATGGAGGTTAGGCTGTGAGCAAAACACGCATCAAATGAACTCCAGATGCGTTCCAAACACCAGAACAAAGGCAAGAGAATTGTGAAGAATTGCTCCTGCAAGATGCAGCTGGTCAGATGTGGCACAGGGGAGGGGGGGGGACGTCGGTGGCCTTCACTGTCACTACATCTCCTTTTCTAGAGTCCTTTTATTCCTTTAATTTGGGGTGGTGGAGAACAACAGGGCCTTATATTGCCCCTGCTAGCCTTGAACTCACTAGGAATGGCCTTGAACTCCAAATCCTCCCTCTGCCTTCCCAGCGCTAGGATCATAGAGCCAGCACAAATGGCTTCCTGGAGTCTTAGTTCCCCCTTTGGAACTTGGTTTTGCATTTATTTACAAGCTTTCTGCTCCTCAGCCTTAGAGTATAGAAGAGGAAACCCAGTCTGTGCTCTTTGCTTTTTTATCTTTTTTAGGGGAAGGTGGAATATGGAGAAACAGAACTTTTGCTGCCTGTTGTAGCCAGAAGCTATTGTTGAATTTTACCATAACTTGACTCCTGAGAAGACAGAGCCTTCGGTGAAGTGTCCTGGACTAGCTGTGACATTAGAGGTCTCAAAAGGGGTTGGTATTTTCTATCCTGAGAAGGCTGGGTTAATTGATGGTCCTCATTAGTGCTGCTTACATGCATCTTCAGACCTAACCTTAAGCCTCTGATGTCCTCCAGACTGGGGACAGAGTAGAATTACAGGTCCTGGCCCTGGCTTTATAGTAGCTGGGGTTAGTGGCTGGGGCACGTGTTGGTTCTGACTGAAGAGTTATGAGGGATGACTTCATCCGGTAGATCCAGACTGAGCGCTCATTACCATTGTAATTATTTTCCAATGTTCTCTTGTCCCTTCTGCTATGATGACTGGCAATATTTGAGACCATCACTATTCAACCAGTGAAGAGACACGGAGCAGAGTTTTCAGCTAATTTAGGACGGACATGTACAGGGGTGAGCAGTAACTCTTTGTTGTTATAAAGAAAATCTTGTTTTAAACTAAACATGATGCAGTTTGTTTGACTTGCTATAGATGATAATGTAGAAAACGTGAAGGTGAACATTCACATGGACTTGCCATGTAAATCCTCACAAGAACACAATGTGATTAAACTCTCTTATTTTCTCTGGTTAACAAGAGACAGAATTAAAGTGCTTAAATAACTTTTCAAAAGTCCCAGACCTTGGAAATGGTAGGTCTGAACTTTGAACTCAAGTTTTCTCTGACAGAAAACCAAGATACTATTATTTCCAGAGCATTCCTTGGGAGATAAAATGCTAAGGCAGCTCAGGGAGTGATTAACTTACCACCACTTTGCGCACTGGAAGAAACATTCCTTGGTCAGTTGTCAAGTCCTCAGCCTGCTCTGTCTCCAGGTAGCAGGAGGCACCTCCCCACTCCCATCCCCTCCCCCTGCTGCCGGGTGCATGCCTAGGACCTCCCTATGTCCCGGTTTGTTGCCCTGTGGCTGTGTAGCGCCTTTTAGTAAGCAAAATCCCGGTGCGGAAGAGATCAGAAAGTCAGCTAAGACCAATTAACCTATGTGTGATCTTAATCTCTGTCTCTCTCAGCTTTGGTTTCTTTTTCAGTGAAATAGGAAAAGTTACAGACTCCAATTCAGAGCCTACCGTGAGGAGTGAGGGAGGCAGTGTGTAAAGCACTTAGAAACCAAGCCCCCCCCCCATTTCTTCAGAAATAACCAGTGCAGAGTCAATCTATCTTCATGTGAACATTTTGAAGGTTGTTATTCCCTCTGAGAGGAAAGAGGTCTTTTTGGAGAGAGGCCAGTGTTGTTCCAAACGCAGGAAGTAGAAGCAACATAGGAGCAATTCTTGTGCACCATAAGGGAGGCCGCTTTTGATTCAAGCAGAAAGGTAAATCTTGGTGAACAGTAATGTTTCTTGGTGATTTTCTTTTCGAAGATGGTCGTTGTGTTTTTATTTGAGTTTTTTTTTTTTTTTTTTTTTTGCCGAGAGGAACCAGCTTCCGCCTGAGGTGAACAAATCCTTTCCCCTCTTAGATCTTATCTGCTCCTTATCTGTAAGATGGATAGATTAGGGCGAGTCTCCCCAGTGTCTGGTGGCTGTTTGATCCTGCCATGCCCTGTTGCATCCCCTGGGGAGGAATGTGTCTGGAGCCTGTCTCTGTCTTGGGATGTGGAAACCAGTCTAGAGGGGCTTCTTCAGAGTGAAGGAAAAGTGACCCAGACTTGCTTCTGTTCAACGTTAGAGTTCTGTAGCTTTCTCTGGTCGGGGTCTAACACGTGGGACCGACGGAAAAGCTCTAGTAGTGTGCAAACACGGTTGCAGTACAAGTGTGTTTTCTTTGTATCCCCCACCCACCCCAGACACGCAGCAGTGCAGTGGAGAGGGAAATAATCAACAACAAACGATGTTAATTTCGAAGCCACAGTCCCAGTCTTTAACCTAAAGGGATGTTTGAATTCTGAAAAACCTTATGGATAAGCCTCGCAGTTATGTACTTAGTCACAACCAGAGGGGAGGAACTTTGAAGGCACTGGATTGAAGAGACACAAAAGTCAGGAAGTGACCCTTTCGTGGGGACTGCAGAGGCCACGGAGGAGAAACAAAGTCCCTTCACAACTGGGAAGACGGACCGTACCATCCCAGGGGGCCGGAGTAGGGAAGAGGGCTGTGGAAACTGACGTCCTCGCTCTCAAGAAGCCGGCGAGGACACGGGATTTCCCGGCTGAAAAGCCTCAGTGTCTGCCTGTCCCGGCCCAGCCTCTCCCCTGCTGTGGAGGCCTGGGTACCGCAGCCCGGGGGCGCCCTGCATCACCACTTTGTGCACGGGCGGGGCCCTGCTCCCCAGCCTGGGGATGGATGGCGTGCCCTAGCCAGCCCATCTGCGGCCACGGCTGGTCCGGGAGGAAGCAGTCCCCCGGGATGAATGGGGCTTTGTTCGCTGCCAGCCGCGCTCCCCTCGCGGCCCAGCCCGGCACAACGGAGGCAGTATGCGACAGGCATGGAAATGAGCCGCGGGCTCTCCCCTCGCAGCGCCCAGGAATGCTGGCCAGCCGGAAAGGAGCCCTCGCCGGGGACCCGCTCCCTCGCCTCTGAAACCCCATTGAGAAGGGCTCTTTGAAGCAATTAAAGCGCGTTTCACGGCGGCCCGGGAGGGGGCCCAGGCCGGCCAGCTTCTCTTTTTACCCCCCTCTTCTCTGTCCTACCGTGTTTGTGCACCTTGGTGTGGTGGGTAACCTAGAGACCAGGCCAGAACCAGCTCCCTCTCATGCAGAGATTCTGTAAACCTCACAAAAGCGTCTCCATAAACAGATTGCTTTATCACCAGGGGGTGGGGGTGTGTGGTGGGGTGGAACCCAGTCTGGATCTGATCCAAGCTGACCTGCAGAGTCTGGGTTCCTGCTTTCAAAGGCTCCTTTGCTGGGCCCTACACCCACCTGCCCTGCTGTCAGGTTTAGGCGGGACAAGAAATCGCCTCTGGGCAAGGAAGTCCTGAGGCTGCGGATCAGCATTTTCCATTTTCTCAGCGGCGGGGTGGGTTGCGTTCAGGTCTAGAAGTGATGTCACAGCTAGCCCTGCGAAGTGATGTAACCTGCACATGTTGAAGGACTAGGACCGGGCTGCTATTTTGAGACTCTTGAGTTCCTTCCTTCCTCCCTGGAGACAAGTGGGTGACTGTGGAGAACTCAAGGCTGCTCTGGGTACAGCGGTTTTTGTCTGTTCCAGTGAAAACTTCTAAGGCCGGAGAGCTGACGCCATAAAACAAGCGTGCTTGTGAATTCTTTCTAAATTGAAGGTATATATGCAGTTGTGGCAAGTGTGTGGACAGGAGCCCCAGTAACACCCATGTAGAAGGTTTCACTGAGTTCTCTGTTTGGTTGACTTTATATCCCTTTCCCCTAGGGCTGATCTTTAAAGTCTACTCCTCCTCCAGCAGGTGCTTCCTAGAGAACACCATCCCTTTATTGTAGCTTTGTTTGTTGCATGTTTTTGAGACAAGGTCTTGAATTCCCTCTGTAGTCAACAGAGGTGTTCCAAATCCTACGTTCTCCACTCCCAAGTGCTGGAGTCACAGGCGTGTGCTGCCTTGACTTCCATTTCTGGGGGCGGGAGTGGTGGTGTTGAGGTGGGGGAAGGTTCTGTGTTCGGAGCAGATCCTTACCAATGCTTGTCAGTGCTTAGCAGATATATTCGATGACTGCACGAATGAAGGTAGAACCTCTGTTGTTTTTGTTTGGTCTTTTGTTTGTTTGACTCTTGTAATTCCAAACAAGAAATAGGGAGCACAATGTGAATCTTTATTACTGAGGATCCTGGGCTCAGGAGATGTTGAGAAGTTTGAATAGAAGGTTAGGAAATATTTTTGAGAACACAGACATGCCTCAAGTGGTTCCTGAAGTGACCCAAATGAAAGTGGAGCACTCAGGTGGAGGAGTCATCCTTTCCAACTTTGGGGTGGTTAGTTCTGGCTAACGTGAATCATGTTTTACGTCTGTAAGGAGTGTGCCCAGTCCATCATTGATGCTTTAAGCCATGGAAACAGGGTGGTCAGAGTAATGGCTGTGTATGCTAAGCATCATTACTTCTTATATGCTGCTCCAGTGTCTCCATGGTGATTGTTACTTGGGGCTTGGCTTGTACTCTTTGGTTATTTATTTTCTCTGAGGCCTGGAATATGTGATTTTTTTCTACACACACACACACACACACACTAGTTAAAAGGCCAATGAACATGAGATGGAAGAGGATACCCTACTTCAAGGATCACTCCAAGCATCTGCAGTAATGCAAATGTAGGCTTCTCTCATATTCTCTTTCTCTTTCTCTTTCTCTTTCACACACACACATACTGATCAAGCAATGGGTAACAGAGAGTCCACTTTAAAAATGAAGCCCCGGTGTTTCCTTATTTACTAGGGTATAGCTTGGCCACCAGCACATTGCTGTGCATAGGAACTCCCTCTCTTGTTCTGGGGTTTCATTTGGCTGTCTGCTGGTCGCCATTTTGCCTTCATATGGACGTCATGCCTGACAGCTGAGATTCCTTTCCCCCTTCTTTCCTTCTATTTAGCCATGTAGACACAAACAACACAGCGCAAAGCCCCATGGATGAAATGGCTCCGGGCTAGAATGCAGGCCACACACTAGCATGAGAACAATGCCCCTCACACTGCAGACCTGGTGAGTTCTAGTAATCCTGTTTTCGTGTTGTTTATAGCAGCCTTTTCTGCTTGGTCTTGAGCAGGCAATGGTGTTAGTAAATATTAATGATCCAAAGGACATCGCTACAGGCAAGAGCAGAATGTTCTTGCCCGGTGTGGTGGGTTGTACTCTTCAGCAATCTTACCGATTGGGATGTGGGTTGAGTACTCAAGGTTTATCCTCAGCTACATAACGAGTTTGAGGCCAGCCCAGGGACACATGGAAACCCTGCCTCAAAAGAAAATGCTCTGAAAAGGTAAGGCAACTTATTTATGGCTACTAATCAGGATTAGGATTGTTTCGCCAGTCTCTTTGTCCCTGAAATACCCTTCAGGCCTCTGAGGTTCTAAAGCCAGGGCAGCCTGCAGTGGAGTGACCAGACCCTGAATACATGGAGACAGAGGCAAACTGCATTTCCCAGTCTGATAAGATCACAGTAGTTCTATCATAGACTACTTTGCCATTTTTTCCAGGTATAAATTATTGGCTTTTTTGTTTTTTAAAGAGTCTTGTAATTTGACCATTAGCTAGAAAAATGCCCAGAAGACCTCTCCTTTATTTACCAGCTGACCCATGACCTTAATGAGGCTTCTCTGGAGGGTAGGATTGAGAGTTTTATTTGTCTTGTGTTTGGGGTAAAAAAAAGAAAAAAAAAAGGGAGGGGCTGCCTCATTCAACAGTCTTTGGTCCTTAAAATAACCCCTACTCCCCCGCCAGCAGTGCTATTTACTCAGTCTCTGGGCTACTAAGTGTAGGGGTGGCCCTTGTTGACTTAAATGAGTCCCTGCAGCTAGGTGGGGCTCTCTGGAGCCCTTAGTCATGTGAGGTTGCCAGGGTAACTTAATGTCTCAGGCACTGGAATGCTTTAAGAAGTACAAAGAGGAGACTACAGAGCACATTACAACTTACAGTCATGTGTTCAATAACATGCCATCTTTCCGTAATGGGGCTTTTATTTTTACTTTATTTTGTGGGATTGAAAGATCAGAAGCCGGAAATTAGCTGGAAAGGATAAAGAAAAGGAGAATTTAAAGGGATAAGGGGGGCTATTTCTGCTCCTTATGTGGGTAATGGCTAAGCAAAGCGAACATCTGGCCTGGAGCAGGGCTCTGCAACATCTGGCCCAGAGCAGGGCTCTCTGCAGTACTGCTTTTAATTACCCAGTCATTTGGTCTCTTGCTAGATTAGTGACTGTGGAAGCAGCTCAGATCTCCAAGCTGACAGGCCTGGAGAGCTCTAACTTAGCCTGCCACATAGTCAGAGGGGAAATTCGGAGCTTCCGGTTTCATATTTAAACCAGGATTGACTCATAATTGTAGCTGTCAGGAGGGTGATGGAGACATTATGTAATCTGGTTCGTATGGTGATATGTGTTTAAGGTTTCTGCTCTGTAAATTCCAGGGGAAATTCTGTGCCCATTGAGGGAGAGCTTGCTGACTGCTCTGTGGTATGCCTGGGCAGGGTAATGACAGTGCTATCACAGGTTTCTAAGTCTGCCTGAGTCCAACATGAATGGGTCTCCTCCTTCTCCCCCCAAAAGGCCTTCCTGGTTTTCCGGAGACTTTTAAATGTGGATGAGGTTAGGCAAAACCTGGCAAATTTGGAAGACGCTGGTCCAGTGGGAAATTTAATAATAGCAAGACATTCAGGTCTGTAAGTGGTCCCCCTCCCACGCCCCATGCGCCAAATAGCTGCCTTTACTGCTTCCTGTCATTTCCAACCTCAGAGATCTGGAAGTGGCCACCAGATGCTTCTGGAAACAAAGCTCTGGGGCTGTGGATCATTTGTTCCATTTTCGCTCCATTTGCTACTTGCTTCTCAGAGGCTCTGGGGCCTCTGGGGATGGATATGCATTGATTTCAGGGAGCCAGGGGAGTCTTGAGACAGGCCCAGCATTGCTGCTACCAAGGGCGCGGGGGAGAGGCACTTGTTTTCATTTGTTCTCAGCACCCAAGCAATGTAAGTTCCATGTAAGTGAGGAGAAGAATTCATTGACAGAGTATCATTCCCACACTGGAGGAGTGATAAAGATTCATTCAAAATGTAAACGGCAAGTAGAGTGGGATTATTGTTCCTGGAGAGAGAAGAGTGGTTACGGGTTAAGAGGACCAAGTCTCTGACCTCCTCTGACTGACACAGACTCCTTAACGCTGTCTTTGTACCTTTCTTCCCTCTCCTGGAGTGTTCCTCATTCCACTAATACTTGGGGTTCTCTGGCTTTTTATATCCATCAGATAACATTGGGGGCTGGAGAGATGGTTCAGTGGTTAAGAGCACTGGCTGTTCTTCCAGAGGACCCAGGTTCAATTCCCAGCATCCAGAGGGCAGCTCAACTGTCCGTAATTGCAGTTCCAGGGTATACCCGACACCTTCATACAGGTATATATGAAGGCATAATACCTTCATAAATGCACATAAAGAGAAATAAAAATAAAGAAGTTAAAAAAAGATGACATTGATATGTATAAAGTGTCATTAGCATCCTAACTTATTACCACCATCAGCACCGTATCACTGCCATCACCATTGCCATCATCACTATCACTATTATCAAGACCATTACTATCATTGCCTCTGTCATCATTATCACTATTGGCATCACTCTCATCACCACCACTGTCACCCTCATCACTATAACCATCATCAGCACCATCATCGATATCACCATTAGTAAAACTATTACCACTTATATTCTAACAGACTGGAGTCAGGTGGGCTCAGTTACAATTTCTGTTTCTCTGGGGGTGGGGAGAAGAACAATCAGGATAATTGGGTATTTTCCCATGAGCTTTGGAATGGGCAGTGACCTCTGCAAGATGGCAAGGCTAACGTTTGCTTGTCCTACCACCAATTCAGAATTTTTGCTTAAGGATAACCCATGCAGGACATAGCTTGTATTATATGATACATTTCCTTTGTCTTTCAAATTCAGTCACCCAGCTCTAAACATTCAGTGGATCAGGGAAAGTACTTTAATAAAAATATAATTAAGATACTTGTATATATGGATACATACAGAAATAGATATTTCCAGAAACAATTTAAACCTTTCCCTGTTCTTTCACAATCTCAGGCTGAGACATCTTTAGTAGGAAACACTGCTAATTTGACAACATGATTTCTTCTCTGCCCTGTGGCTGAAGTTTTTGTTTGTTTGTTTTTGTTTTTTGTTTTTTTGTTGTTCTTGTTTTTTGGAAGACAGGGTTTCTCTGTAGCTTTGGAGGCTGTCCTGGAACTAGCTCGGTAGACCAGGCTGGCCTCGAACTCACAGAGATCCACCTGCCTCTGCTTCCTGAGTACTGGGATTAAAGGCGTGCACCACCACTGCCTGGTGTGGCTGAAGTTTTATGTGAATATTATACAGTCACTGTAGCTAGTAACACTATCAAGTGACTGATGGATGATGCATGGATGGGTAATTTCATGAGCTGTCCAGCCTGAGTTTATTCATTCTCCTAGTCATTGAAATGAAGAGATATGGTGTGATTCTCATTGAGATAATTCAGGGACAATCATCCTTGTAATTTTTTTTTCTATCAGAAAATTAAGTGCTGTTTTGTCCTTTTTTTTTTTTTTTTTGCTTAGACTAGAAGCTACAAATCAACTAGGGATTGCTCTTGAAATCATAAGCTATAGAAAACAATAGTTGATGACAACAAGACATATTATCTTAGGGCTCTGAATAAATGAATCTAAACATTGGATTTAGTTGTCAACAGGACATTTTGTCTTTGCAATCACTTCCAATGCCTCTATCCCATCCAGGTTTTCATCTTCATGAAGAATTAACCAGGGGCCCAATGACTAGAATGACTAGACTTGATTACAAAAGACTAATAAACCTTTTTCTCATACTTTATGTGATAATAGGGTTGAAAAATAAATATACATTAGTGGAAGCTTGCTTTCCTTCAGCCTTTACAAACTAGCTCATCATCTTGCCTCATGTTGTCCCCAAACTCATTTCATTGTTTTTCTACTAACAAATTTCAGATTCCTTATGATGATGTTCAAGATCTAACACAACCAGGTTCCAAATTATCCTTCTAATTTTATTTCCTGTGGCTCCCAACCTGTCCATTTTAACTGTATTTTATTGCTTTCCATATTGTATACCATCCATTAGTCACTTTAAATGGCACTTACATATTTTCTTTCTTTGTATACTTTATGTTCTACTTTTGTGTTTATGTGTTACTTTTATGCTGTTTTGACTAAGTAACTGACACAAATAACTTAAAAGGAGGTTTGTGAGCGATCATACTTTCATTTCCATAGTTATTAAAAGGAGAACTGTTTTGCTCATGGTTTCAGAAGTCTCAACCCATGGTTGTACTTGAGCAAAGATCAAGGCAGTGAGACTGTGTGAGCTTTGTTGTCTCATGGAAACATGTGGAGAACAGAGGACAACCTGTGAGATCCAGTTCTCTGCTTCCACCATGTGGATCCTAAGGATAAAACTCAGGCTGTCAGGGTTGGCAGCAAATGCCTTTCTCCAGTGAACCATCTGGCTGGTCCTAGACCCAGTACTCAGAACAGTTAAGTGTCTCTTAAAGAATGGAAAGGAGGGAACTTCAGAGGGTCCCTACAGCTGACACCACTAATAGAGTGCACAAATGCTTCTTCCTAAAATTGCTTAATGTAGACTTCACTTCCCATTCATGGGGCCAAAAAGACTTAGAACCTGGTGCTAGGAGGTTTCCAGCCACATCTGGCAATGAGGGCTGTTTTTGGTTCTCACAGTTACTGGGATAGGGATGAAGGTAAAGGTGAATAAGTTCATTTTTCTGGGTTTGATGCAGGTCTATGGCATCTATTTACAAGCTGTTAAGGGTTGCTCATCATCTCTCCTTTCTGACTTATTTGCCCACCTTGGTCCACTGCTTTGATTTGGCTGTAGAATAATGGACTCATACAGACTGCTAATACAGGCCTCACCATTGTACGAGCTTTAGGCTTCATTATGAACTCAATCAAAC